GAGGGAGCCCAGGAGCGGGGCTCAGGCCTGGCCTCTGCCAACCCCCGCAACAGCCCGCACAGCGGGAGGACCAGCAATTCTCTGCACTGAGCCTCCTCCATCCTCTGTCTGCCGCCCCCGCCCCGGCTTCCCTCTCCCACACACACTCCCTCCAGCTCAGTGGCCAAATGTCAGCCCGGAGATGACTGCCACGGAAATGGGCCGGGCCTCACCTGCTGCGTGTACTTGGAAGGGTAGAGGTTCTTGACAGGGACGTCACTGCCATTCTCCGTGCAGTCGCCGTAATTGCCCCCAAGTCTGTCGAGGGCTTCCTGCGACCCCACACACACCGAGAGGTCAGAGGCCAGAGGAGGCGGCCCAGGCCTCTGCCTAGACTCGGTCTACCTTGCCGGCCCCTGCCGACTGCCTCACCACGCCCCCAGCAGCCCCAACACCCATCCCAGGGCTGCCTGCAAGAGCGCCATGCCCAGAGCATCCTCCGGGTTCCCCAGCACCTCTCACCCCGGTCCCCCACCCCGCAGGGCCCAGCTTCCCAGCCCCTCGCCCCGCGTCTGCGCCTGAGGACACGCCACATGTGCAAGGCCCACCCCACACAGCCTCTGGCCGTGGAGTCCCCCGCGAGCCCCCGCCGTGCCCTCCCTGGGCCACTCCAGCCGGGCCCGCCCCCTTGCCTTCCTCATGCTGATGGAGGTCTCCACGCCCGGCCGCAAGTTGAAGCCCCCGTCGTCCATGAAGGCAGGCTCGTCCTGGCCGTGCACCATGACCCGGGCCCCGGTCACCGTGGAGAGCAGGGGAATGAAGTCATTCTGCTCCGTGCGCAGCGTCAGGGACAGCCCTGAGGGGGCACAGGCAGTAGGTGGGGGTGGGGAGCCCGGAGAAGAGTTGGGGGATGGGAACCCCCGCCACCCCCGCCTGGTCCAAGGCTCCAAGGGGAGCCAGGTCAGGAAGGCCCACAAGGGGACCAGGCGGCCGATCTGGAGGCTGGGGCCAGGAGGAAGGCCCGGGGCAGGAGTCCTCTCACTCCTGGACCGGTAGGCGTGGCGCCCGCGGGGGAAAGACAGCAGGACGCCCCCGGGGCCGGGAGAGGCGCGGTGGTGAGGCCTGGAAGGCACACAGCGTCTGCAGGACACGGGCAAACCTGGTGGGAGGGCAGCAGGGGTGGGGAGTCACGCACCATTGTTGATCCCAGGCATGGACGACATCCAGAGGCTGGAGTTGCTCTTGCCGTTGAAAGTGTAGCAGTTCCCATACATTGGGTGGTGGAAGTGAGAGTAATTCCTGATCAGGGGACAGAGAGAGAGAGTCGGAGAGGAAAGCGGGGGAGGCCAGGGAGGCAGGGAGCCGGGCAGGGGGCGGTCTCGCCTCCCTGGTCCCCCACATCACTTGTGCCTTTGAGGGCCACTTGTTTCCTGATCACCTTCCAAGTGCCGGCCCAGCACCGGGGTCTCACCCTCGACCCCTCAGTCATTCCAACAGCAGCCTCGTTCTCACATCACAGAGGAGGAAACAAAGGCTCAGGGCAGTCAAGAGACTGGCCAGCCCAAGGTCACGCAGACAGTGAGGACAAGCCCAGGATCCAAACCTAGGTCACCTTCCTTCTGGTCCAGGCTCCTCGCACCATCTGACCTCACTAGCCTCGACATACGTGCAGCCTTGTGACCTTGCTGTGTGGCAGTGCCCCAACCCCTCACACGTCTAGATCTTAGTTCCCCATTTGACTGTGAGCTCCCTGAAGAGAGAAGTCACACCTCATTCGTCTCTGTCTCATCTCTGGGTCAGCTGCATAGTTCCTGGCATATAGCAGAGATAGGAGGCCAGGCTTGGTGGCTCAGCGTGTCATGCCAGCACTTTGGGAGGCCAAGGCGAGAGGACTGCCTGAACCCGTGGGTTCGAGACCATCCCGGGCAACTTGGCACGACCTCATCTCTACAATAAATAAAAAATGAGCTGGGTGTGGTAGCGCTCGCCTGTAGTTCCGGTTACTTGGAAGGCTGAGGCGGAAGGATCGCCGGAGCCCAGCAGGTCGAGGCTGCAGTGGCCAGGAGCATACCACTGCCCTCCAGCCTGGGCAACGGAGTGAGACTCCGATTCAAAAAAAAAAAAGGAGAGATAGGAGATGACTAATAACGAGTTGTTGGATGAGTGAGTGAATGAAATGAAGAGATGGAGGGGAACAGAGCTGCGAGGAGCGCGATTCGAGGACAAGAGTGAGGCCACGTGTTTTCGGAGGTCGCTCACATCCGCGTGCCCCCGGCCGGCAGGTCCAAAGCGGACCTGCGACAGGTTTGGGGCCAGAGAGTGCGCAATCGCAGAGGCAACGCTGCGGTGGTAGGAAGACGATCTGACTGCAAATCACAGGTTCCAAAGCAAGGAGGCTGTGGGGGCCTGAAGCAACAGCCCACCTGGGACAGGGGGGTCTGTGTTCGACCACCCTGCCCTCTTGGAGCTGGCGCCGGGAGCAGGGGAAAGCGGGGCTTGGGCCTGGTGGAGGCAGAGGCGGAGGGAAGAGAATAAGAGGGAGAAGCAAGCTGGCCAGAGGTAACAGGTGGGGTTCCGGCTTTATGCCCTGAGCAAGTCGTTTTTCCTGAGCTCATTCTCCTCCTCTGCAAACTTAGGAATTGGAACTAGACGGTCTGGAACAGTTCATCGGCCTTGAAGAACAGAGGCACCGAGGGGTGAGATACTGGTGCACATTCTAGGACGTGCAGGGAGGCAGGCGGCACCCCTAGAGCCGTGGCTGGATGCAGGGAGGGACTGGAGAGGCGAGGCGACTGGAGCGGCCAGTCTGGAAGGGCACTGGGAGGGGGCAGGCACAGCGCAGCCGATGCACACCCGCCGCGCACGGCAGGGGTTCGCAGGGGAGAGGGAGCACACGCGGGTCTTAAGAACAAGGCGGGCGGGCGGGCGCAGTGGTTCAGGCCTGCAATCCCAGCACTTCGGGAGGTTGAGGCCGGAGGATTGCTTGGGGCCAGGAGTTCAAGACCAGCTTAGAGCCAGGTGCGGTGGCTCACGCCTGTAATCCCAGCCCTTTGGGAGGAAGAGGCGAGAGGATTGCCTGAGCCCAGGGGTTTGAGACCAGCCCAGGCAGCATGGTGAGACCTCATCTCTACAATAAATCAAAAAATTAGCCAGGTGTGGTGGCGTGCGCCTGTGGTTCCAGCTACTGGGAAGGCTGGAGCAGAAGGATCGCCAGAGCCCAGCAGGTGGAGGCTGAGGTGGCCATGAGCATGCCACTGCCCTCCGGCGTGGGAGACAGAGTGAGAGTCCTACTCAAAAAAGAAAAGAAAAGAACAAAGAGCGTATGCTACCATGTAACCGAAACTATTTGTAGCCCCAGGGCTATTGAAATAAAGAGGAAAAAAGAACAAAGCTTAGTAGGAAAAAAAAGAGGAGAAATGAGACCTATAACACATGCCATTTATGTAAATTGTACATTCCCAACAGCACTAGGCCTCCAAATTCTCAACAATCCACCTGTTACTGTGTCTTTCTTACTTTCGCCGTCTTAATGAACCCGTTACCCTCGTCGCAAATGAACACAGCTCTTACTAAGTGCTAAGCGCCATTCTGAGCGCAATTTAATCCTCCCAGCGCCCCTGTGAGGTAGACATTTTTATTCCCCTCCTTTTACAGCCGAGGAAACAGAGGGGCATCGACTGAGGACCCTGTGGGGTCCCACATGCAATACTCAGTCGAGCCAGGGCTCTAACCAGGGTAGCGAGGTAAGGATCATGAAGTACGAAGCGGCCTGTGGCTGCAGGACCCAGAGAGGGTCTGGAGGCAGAAGGGCAAGTTCGGAGGGGTCCCGACAGCCCAGGCGAGAAATGAGGAGGCCGCAAGCCAGGCAGGTCACCGGAGTGTCAAGACAAGGACGACGGGAGGCAGGAGCACGGGGGAGGGGGGCAACGGGAGGGGGCTGGGATGAAAAGATACAAAGTGCCGGGCTCGGTGGCTCAGCCTGTCATCCCACGCCTTTGGGAGGCTGAGGTCAGTGGATGGCCTGAGCCCGCGGGTTCGAGACCCGCCCGGGCAGCGAGACCTCATCTCTACCATAGATCAAAAATTATCCGGGCGTGGTAGCGCGCGCCTGTAATTCCGGCTACTGGGAAGGCTGAGGTGGAAGGATC